AGGGGTGTAATATTTAGTTGTGATTTATCATTTTACAAAATAGATTTAGTTATTGCAGACTAATTTACATAGTGTGCTGATATTAACAATGGCCCCTGTGAGAATCAAGGAGATATGTAAATACTAAAACATGTTATTTACATATCATAAACATGTGAATATAAAAGAAAAAAGGAGATAACAAAGGATGCAATAGGATTTAAAAAAAAATGAATAGTAACAGAGAATAGTTTAATGGTTTAGATAAATTAAATGCAATAAATTTAGGTCAAGCCTCTTACAAAAACAAAGAATCAATCATTTTACAATTTTAAAGGATGTAAATAAGTATAAATACATCAAGTATAAATACATCAAGAATAAAAAGAAGGACATAACATAAAGATAGAGGTATTTGATAAAAAGATGAAGAGTGTGTTACACAAATGTTTATCGAAATAACCATTTGAAATGGAACTTTTGTTGTAATACCCTTTTCCTATTCATATAGTTGTTAATCCCATAAGACTACTATGAGGTAATTGGCCAAAGGCAGCCACCTATAGTTTGTTGCTAAATAAGGATTTTAGAGCGTTTGAGGCTTGTACCACATTACTTGTTCGATCGCTTCTTGTTAACATAACTTTTATATGGTCCAATTCCTCCTATGCTGACTGAGATGAGTTTGAGGGATATTTTAAAATTTTGAATGTTTATGTTACATCATAAAATCCATGGATACAAATTGGTATAAAGTTTTGAAGCATATTTGTGATTACAGAAGAAAACATGAAAGGAGGAGAACTAGTAACAATAAATGAAGATATTATTAACTGCAAAATATTGAAGGTTTAACTTGTACATGGTTTCAATCTCAGATAGTTGAAGAAGATGTTCTGAAGGCACACCTTCCCCAATTCGACGTGTGTGTTGCTAACATTCCTTATGGGATATCTTCTCCACTCATAGCAAAACTTCTCTTTGGGAAAATCAAGCTCTGCTTCCGGAGTGCCACTCTTTTACTCCAAAAGGAGTTTGCTTGGCGTCTTATGGCTAAACCAGGCGATTCAGAGTTCAACAGACTAGCTGTTAATGTGGGTTTAGTGGCCACTGTGAAGTTCTTAATGAATGTGAGCAAGAAAGATTTTGTCCCTTGCCCAAAGGTAGACTCCTCTCTAGTCCGAATACAGCAGAGGTCAGAATTACCAGAAATTGATATGAACGAATGGTTGGCTTTCACGCGGACATGTTTTAGTAAGAGGAATAAGACACTTGGTGCCATCTTTAGACAGAAGAAAAAAATTCTAGAATTATCTAGAAAGACTCCAGCATGTGCTACAAATTTCGGAGTCTCTGAAGATGATCATGAGATTGACGAAAGAGATGATATGAAGGAAACTATTGGCTTAGAATATGAGGATGTGGAGGATGGTTTGGAAGTCGGTCACTTCAAGGAGAAAATAATTGGAATATTAAAAACTAAGGGATTTGATAACAAGAGACCTTCAAAGATGTCCCACCAAGAATTGTTGGATTTGCTTCACCTGTTTAATCAACATGGTGTATTATTCAATTGTTAGCCTTCATTGGCGCCAGTCTTTCGCAAAAAGCATTATGTACATCTTCATTTTCTGTATTCCAACTGCTAGCCTAATGTATTTCAGGTACGATTTTATAAACCCAAAATGTCGCACCATTTTCTTTTTTTTAATCTAATCGAATGAGTTAAAGTGCTTGCAGATGTTTCTAAAGTACGTATGTTGCTCCATCCATCCTGTTTATTTCTACATGTTTATTCTAAGTAATTCACAATTTTCGTTTATTTTATTTGTTTTGGCTAAATTCTTGTTTTATAGTTGGCTTCATACCCCACTTGCCCCACTTGTAAGGGTGCCAAAAAATATCCATATCCGTATTAACTAGTATATAGATATGGCTACTAAAACTTACAACCGATAAGATATGGTTACAGATATGGTTATGTAGTGAAATATCCAGATCTATATCCAAAATGTCTGCATATATGTTGATCATACAGTTGTAACTATTTTAATTCTTAGATTAATGGATTTGAGAGTGATTTTGATGATCAAAAGATATAATATTAATTTTTCAGATATAACCAACATTTAATGAACTCTCTTGTATCATACGAATTGTATTTTTTTTCGATATTATTTTGTTTTCCATTTTGTCTCTGCATGCATATCCACATGTATATCTATATCCCTATCTAGTTTTAGCAGATATAGATATGAATTTTTCTTAGTGCAACATATCCACATCGTGATTGTAAGTGAACATGAATATGGCAAGTGTCATATTTGAGCCATATCCAATCTGCAACACCTCTACCTACTTGTCCCTCCTTACCTTTCAAATATTTTTAGTCCCAACATGCCCCCTAAATTATTGAATATGTTTCTTGCTAGCCCCTTGGATTATTTTTAGTCCCACCTTGGCCCTTAAATTACTAAATTTGTTCATGCTACCCCCCCCCCCCCCCCCACCCCCGACTATCAAATTCCGGCACATATTTACCATTTCATGTTTATTACTTTTTGGGTGTTATAAATGGGTTTATGAGAGAAAAGTGATAGTTCAAAGTGTAAGATTGGACTAAAATATTTCAGAGGGTAAGCATGGAACAATTTTAATAGGTTAAAGGGCATGTAGGCACTAAAAGTAGTTTAGGAGGTAAGAAGGGACAATTTTAATAGTTTAGGGGGGTAAGTAGGGACCTGTTTGATATTATATTTGTACTATTTTTCCATGTTTCATATGTTGCTGCATGGGTGATTTGATGATGCTCCACGCTCTAGACTGATGTCTTGCAGTAGTAAAGAATGCAACTTTTGAGCATCATGCACGATTTATTTTGCCGAGCAACGAAGGAATCCGAAGAAAGAAGGAGAATAATGTTAGATAGGCTGAAGATGTCGTCCAGGTATAGAATTACTCTCATGGTTGCCAGTTCTCTTTCAAACTTTCCACAATCCATTCTCATCCTATCCATGGCTTTAAGTAAAAAAGAAGTCACGCATCACCAAATTGTCTAGTATGCCTAAGCAGTTGAAGAGATCCGAATCTATGATAGCTAATGGAAAACAAACAATAATTACAGAATCAAAATCATTCCCTTTTGCAGTCATTCAAGATGAATGGAACCATGGGAGTAACATAGAATTCCTTCTTACTTAGAACTTGATTTATACTTGCATGACTCCCATTCCGTTCTGATGGAACATTGATGCCTATCCAAGAGATTGTGTATGTTCATGCCAAAATTCAAATCTAAGGGGACTAATGGCATCTCGTTATCTAATGACATGAAAACAGAGGCACCATGTAATTGGTAAATGCATCTCATCTTTTATTCAAAACACATCATACTGCTATAGTGACAACACTTATTTCTTGAAAGATGGATGTAGACCACACAAATTTTACGGCATCCTTATTTTCACATACTACTATAGTTTTCACAATACCAAATTGTGAACTTAACAGTTAACAAACTGGTAGCTGACAGTAAGGTATCCTTGGTTATATCCTTGACCATTGGTATCCAACTGAGAAAAGACACCTTGATCCAAGTCCAATCCTCCGTTGGAGCACTGATCTATGATCCTGACAGTAGCCTGCGCCCCCGTTGCTTGGTTAGTCACCTGCATAATGTTGTCAAAATTTGTATCAGACCATTAATTCCTAAACTACCAATGCGTTTTGTCAATTTTCTTCGAGCATATATGTGTTATTGATGTTGTAGATTGGTCTGATATCCAAAATCACATAATTTCTATTGAGTAAATTTCACGTAATTACCAAGGACTTTGGTGGGGTGGTTTGCACAAAACTACAATAAAGTCATTTTACTAGAAAAAAAACTACTATGAACTTTTTGCACAAAATCACACCATGCCATGGGTTTTTTTCTGCAGTTCTGAGAGTTCATTGTTGTTCTCTAGAAAAAAAAATTCTGTGATAGTGTTATGGAAATTCCCCCCCGCCTCACCCCCCGCCCCAAATAAAATAAAATAAAATAATAAATAAATAAATAAATAAAATCATGGTTTGGCTCTTACGCTCAAGCATTGCCCACATGCAGCCTGACCGTGAGGACCGGCAG